CATCTTGGTATTTTTCTTTTCCTGCATGAAATGCCTCCTCTGTAAATTACGTTGGGGCCTTTTTGATGCATATATGACATATAATGTGCTATGCAATATATGCTACAAGATGTTTCAGTAAAATCTGGACAGTTTTCGAATTAAACTTCAGGCTGCTTTCAGTTTGTTTATTAACCATCTAGATGCTGCTAAATATAGCTGGATCATTTGTAAACAGAATTATAACTTCATCATGGCCAATCTTGTTAAGTCATTAGGGTTTTAGTGCAGGAATGGCTCTCGAATAACATGAACATATTCTGGAGTAAAGACTATTGGCCTCCCAAAAGCCCTGATTTGAACCCGCTCAATTATTTCCTGTGGAGCGTTATTGAGCAGGACTCCAAAAAGACCCTACATTCCAACATTTTAGGTCACTTAAGGCTGCTATTGAGGCATTGTTTGCACATATGGAGATGATGATTTTGGAAAAGGCTTGTGCATGCTTTAGGCCGAGAATAGAAGCTGTGATTAATGAAAATGGCGAATATATTAAGTAGTTTTTTGTGTCAGAGATGCCTCAATAATAATATATTGGGCTTTTCAATGTAATTGCCATATTTTATAATAAAAAAAAAAATTTTAAAAACTGGTATTGGTTTGTTCGGATTATGCTAAAATACCCTTTATAATCTGTTTCTCAATGACTTTTGACAGTATTTCTTTCAATAGCAACAAAGTAGACATAATAATTTTAACGTTTAGAAGTAATCAGCCATTAATGAATAATGAATCATTCATTATCATAATTGTATCAAAATTAAATAACTTTATAAATATATTATTGAAATATTATAATCATGTTTATCTATGTATAAATAAAAGGGAATGTGTATAGGTGTTGCAAAAAGATTCAAAAACTATTCAACTGATTTTGTTGAAATTTTCACACTTACTTTGTATTAGTATTGGGAGTATCGAGAGATATGGCTGACTTTAATTAAAGGTGTGGGGGCAATGAGGTGGAATTACGCCAAACCCAGACGACCTTGCTTGACTTGAGATATATGGATATCTTTTTGAATAATCAACTCTCGCTTGGACTCAATGTTGAATAAGTGCTATCTAGAAAGCTGACATTCTGAACCATTTAATAGTTAACGTGTAGTAAATCATTGAATAAATTTATTTTGAACTTCAATTGTATTTATTTAATTCACTGCAATAGCCAGCCAGGTCTGCTAGTATTAAATATTTATAAATTGTCTCAATTAACACAATGGCTTATTTTTCTTTCCTGAATGTTTATTATGAAGAAATTGGTTTTTATAAAAAAATACAAACTTTTTTCACATTTTCTCAATTTTTCAGCCTTTTAATTGCTTTACTGAAATGAAACTATGAATATCGTATGAAGAGCAAAACTTTTGTCTTAAACATTTTTGAAAGAAAATCAGCAGCCAATTTTGAGTTTGTCACGTCTAGAAATACCCAATTTAAAGCTCATTTACATCCAAAAACCTTTGAGATTTTGAGAAAGTTTGTTGAAGATCATTTGAAGAATTTGTATTCACAAATGCATTAAATTATGAAATACACACAAAATGAGTTAGTGACTTCACAGATATAACAGAGTTAAACTTGCAAAAAATTGTGAAACGGCTATTCTTAAACCATTTATGCCTCAACATCTCCAAAACTGTATTTACAATGTATGGTACTTACTTCGAGAGTATACCAAAACAATACATTATACAAAATTGTATAATGTATTTTGTATTGAAAATGCATAAAATCACATGCAACAGTAGTACATGTGATTGTCCTAGAATAGAAAGAGTAATAGTTACCAAATAACTAGGTATGTTAGGTAACTTGAAATGGGATCAACATTTATTAAAGATCTTCAAAATTTCGCTCATAAATTTTCTACAACTTGTCGAAAAGTTTCAATACAACACATTTTCTTATGACGTATTATGCGTTCTTTTGGTTGATAGATACGTACAGTATAATTATTTGGGGAGAGGTGCCTACAAAAATGCCTACAAAATTTTTTTAAAAAAGTAACCATTATCCGTCTGAAGAATTGTTTAGGAAAAATAACATTATCTTTGTTAGAAAATATTTTCCAGGAAAATCAATCCTAGAAAAGTTTAACTGTCCACATCAAATTTATGAAAACATACAAAATATTAAAAGAGTACCAATAATTATACTGCTGCTAGTGAACAAAGAGATTGGTGAACATATTTATAAGCAAGTTGAATATAGAGTATATAGTAAAAATAAAAACACAAATAGAACAGTATAAAGAAACGGATAAAATGTGCCTGTCTCTGTTGCTGACCAACTCTTCGCTTCACTTCACTGCATGTTCCTTTGGTAACCAGTTATTTATTCATTAACGGTTAGTTCATACCGCTCACTTTGCCTGCTCTTTTTGTTGGCCTTGACTACATATCACTGTATTGAATATTCACGCTCTTAAGAAATCTCGAACGCATAACTCAAGTGCTTCTGTGACGGATTGCCAGCATCTCTGCAGGTAAATTGTTCCTGTCAACAATGGCCCTGTTCTCAAATCAGTTCCATGCTTTCTGCATTTTTTGTGTGAATGGTCACCCCTACCTAAGTAGCATGACATTTCAACTTGGTCACTGATAGCATTTCATGCCAGTTGCTTTGTATACACCTTACCATACAGTCTTGCTACCTTTCTATGTGTAACTAATAATTCCCAGTTGACAATTTCCCCATTGTTTCTCTTTGTTAATTTAGCTTCTTTTTCTGCACTTGGTTTATTGCTTTAATCTGACATTTCCTATGAGGATCCCAACAAGCTACTCCATATTCCATTTTGAGACGAACCAAAGATGAGAGACCTGCATTTTGTGTTACAGTTAGCTTACCGTAACATACGCAAAGCTAAATGAACAGATTTCCAAGCCTTCTGTGTCTATATCTTACGTGATCAGCTCAGCTGAATTTACTTCAAATCATCAAACTCGGATATTTAAATGCTTCTTTGACTGTTTTTTTTTAATTAGTTCAGTTAATGGTTGGTTAACATACTGTGTAGAAATATCTCTGCCAACTTTCATAATTTTATCCGATTGTTTTCTGTGCTACCATGTTGAAGAGCTTGCATACTTTGAGATAATAATCGTTCTTGATGTTTTCAGAATTGATTGATGTGGAAAGTATCACTGCTTGCCTAAACAATTTGTTATCAATACTTGAAGATGGGAAATCGAAATTGCAAGTGAGTATAAGTTGTGATAACTGATTAAAGTACCTTTTATTGAATCATTTGATTGCAGTGACTGATTAAAAATGATTTCATTAGCATTTTCTCCAACTCGATCATTTTTAATGGCTTTCGATAATTTTAATCAATAACTAGAACAGCACATTCCTGCTCATAATTTTGGTAATGCCTATATAATATTATAATAATATTGGTAATATTATACTGAACATTTTCACCCAACAGCATGAAGCACTTTGAGCTCAAACAGCACTTATTTTCTCATTATTGGGAGTAGTTATGTTATATAACATTACATTATCTGGCATATTAACAATTCAGTCATCACTTGGAAAAGTCCAAATGAAGCACCTGTGGAGCATATCAGCAATTGTCTTAATAGTCAGGAATAGTAGACGTTTCTTATTTCTACAAAAGATACAAATCAATAAATCTAAGTTGTAGTATTTGTAACACAGTATACAGATAAGTAAGGATAATGCCACATGAGCTTGCATTGTGAGTAAGCTTCTAATTTGTAAACATGTAAGTAAGCTTCTAAGTTTTGAATACCATAGTCAGTTATCAAACCTTTTAACTTTCTTGCTCTTGTCATGAAGAGTATAATATGATATATTGTACTGTTGCTCAGGGGTGCCAAGAGAAAACCGGGGCCCTGAGACAGATCTATGGGGAGGTTTTCATTTTTAAAAAATCCCTTCACAAATTCATGAACAGAATTTATTTCTCTATGTATTAGGAATGACATATAGCGTTAAATTTGCATGAAAAATTATTACATTTAAAAAAATGTCTTTTGAGAGGAGAGGAATTTGGAGCCTCAAATAAGGCAGGGACTTGGGGAAACTTGCCCCAGCTGGCCCCCTTCCTGGCTGCCCCTGAACGTGCATTGGAAAACGGCGAACTTTCGAAGAAAAAAACTCTTATTGCCAGGCTCAGAAAAAGTGGTTAAAAATTGTTCGTACACAGGAAGTTACTTTCTCTAACGTGTGTAGTCAGAATCCGTTTTGTGGGTTCTTGATACCGAAAAATCGATTGACTGTAAAACGTGTGCGGGTCTCTCTGCCGGCGGCGTGTTGGTCTGTCCGGTTGTCTTTCTGCCCGTGGTCAACGCTCGCGCCTAGACAGTTCATCGATTCAAAAGTATGTCTGTCTGTATGTGAACCACACTAGCGGCTAAACCGTTCAGCCAATTTTCTCCAAAATTGGTATTCCTCAAACAATCAGGCAGATGTGATCCGTAGAACTAGAAATCCAAATTTTAATTTGGGGAGGTACTTAACATGAAGCCGGCGATAGTGTTCTACGAAGGCGGCCCGCTGGCGGAGAAGACGGCGCAACCCTCGCGCATTTGATGGACTTAACGCATTGATATCGTAGTTTTGTATGTAATCGTAGGGTGATATATTGGATGGTTTTTAGTTCTAGATGTTTAGTTTATAGGTGAAATTATCCTTACTTGTCTGTATAATGTTCTGCAAATAATGCAAGCGGTTACAAATAATGACATCTAGCACCACTAGTTTTGATTTGTAAAAACTCATCCCCGTTTATACTTACATTTATTCATCGTTAGGGCATACTTAATGTCAGCAATTCCTATTGTATTGCCATGTACTTCACTTTGTTATTGTTATGAATTTTTGTTACAGGCAAGTTTAAGAAAGAAAAGCTTGTTATCAAACATAATTTCTGCAGTTTTAAATGGGAATTTAGCTCTAAATAACATTTCCATGGAAAAAACCTTAGAAGTAATGGTGGAAAGTGGATTTGAGAAATTAAAATATGACTATGATTATGTTTTTAAAAAGTTAGGAGTTAATTGTTCCAATTATTTTAAAAATATATCAATTTCCGTTGCTAAAAGGTATGTTAAGTACACATTTTATTTCTCTTTTTATTTCGTCATAAAGGTCAAGTTTTTGTGCCAGCTCTCCAATTCCCTTTTCTACATGCTTTTATTTAAATAGTTCTAAATAACAGTTCAATAACAGTCACAAATGTATGTATAAATAAAAGGCTGTGTGCGTTGCACATAGACACAAAAATTACATGACCAATTTTGCTGCAATTTTCACACTTTGTTATTAATAGTAATGAGTGGTTTGAATTAAATCGCACATGTGGGGGCATTGTTGATGATTTATAAGTTTATGTTGACACAATCACCCCTGAACTCGGTAATTATTAAGCGCGTCTTCACTACATGGACTTTTTCTGCCCCTGCGATTGTGTAATATTGGTTGGATTTATTACTTGAATCTCGGACAAATAAATCACATTTCTTCAAGATAAAGCCATAACGAATGCATGCCCAAATTTGAGAGAAAATGGTTTAATAATAGGATTCTTGACAACTTCATCCAAACCAGGACCCAGAACAAACCAATACTTTGGAGAAAGTATTTCATCTATTAAAAATTTTACCTAGCTTAGAGTAAAACTTGATGATTGATTAACAATCATGTGACCAGTAGTTTGTGATGTGTAATACACTGCAATAGCAAAGCATTGCTGGGTCCACTAGTATTATATATAAGCCATAAATACATCATTTTTGAGAGTGCCACTCGGAATTACAGTGCAAGAAATGGAAACCTGAAACCTTTATTGCATACCTGTCTTCATGTAATACAAATTGTTGCATATAACAATTTTTATTACATAACTAGATTTTTGTTAAATTCCTGCATGGTGCAAAAAGGGACTCCAGGACTTCGTTACCCTTTTACGTTCCACGATACTGTCTACATTAAAATAAATTTAAAAAAATACAATAATCTAATTTCTTTGTATTTTATTTTTTGTTAGTTTCAAAAGTGGGCTAAGATTGTGGATAAATATACAAACCACGTTAAGAATCTTAGTAATTTTCGAAATTCTTTTCCAACACTGAGCTTCTTTTCCTGAGCAGATTTGCATTATGAATGAAGATGAACTATTATGCAATTTATAATATAGCAATAAAGTTGTGTCACCTGTAGATTACACTGGGAATTGCTGAGTTTTTCTCTCACTTATTCTTGTTATCCGTCTTCTTTCATTTTTCTATTTACTCTATTTCTCTTTATTCTTCTCTATTTTGAATTGCCCTTTCTCTGCTTTAGTGTTAGTGATATCAAATATTCCCATCACAGGTGAAACACTAATATGTAATTTTTTTATGTTTTAGCCTTGATGCTGTACAACATAATATCAATATTTTGGCTCAAATTCATGTTGCATTGGATTTCATTTTGGGAGTACAATATTTTTTTGATAGTAGAGAACACAATCTCAATGCATTTGCCCAAGCCATTTTTAAGGAGAGTTGTAAAACAGTTACATCCTTAAAAAATTTGCAGTGTAATCCCCACGTGTCTTTGGAAGTTCCTGTTGAGTTTGAGTGTGTTGTTGACCAACTGCCAAGGTTAGTATCTTGATTGATTAGCATATTGAAATAGGCTGTTCAGTTCCTGCGAGCAGTTCCTCCCCACCTCCACTGACTGGGTGCCATACTGTACATTACCTTGACATATCTCTTTCTGCCCCTGTGCGTATCTGGGTCTTGATAAGATTTTTTGGTCACTACACTATAAACTTTACAATCTAGAATATGTTACATCTTAAGTCCGAATAGAGTTAATTTATGATTTAGTTTCTACCAAAATAGGTGGATAAAGCCCAAGTAGGAACAGTTTTGAAGCATTCTTTGGACAGTACCCAGATAGAGCGCATATTAGCCAACATACGGTAGATAAAGCACATGACGTGTAATAGCACGTGTATTAAGGGATAAGATGCTGGTGGGAAGTTTCTAAAGCTAGTGAGAAAGATGCTCTATAATTTCGACTTCCACTGTATCGGTTGAAAGTTTATATTTACATGAAACCAACTAACCTATGCTTATCTTACCTAACCTTAGTTGGTCCTTTGCTTCACGCTTCTGGGATGGTGACAAAGTTCATAAAGATTCCCTTCGAGGCGAGTCGCTGCACACACTGTATCCAGAAAAGGGATAGTGGCTATTCGGTACCTGAAATGGCACCGACACCATTCTATATGTGGTGCAATTCGCTGAAAATAAATGTCTGGCTGGGATGAAAACTGCCACGACTGGCTCCAGGACCAGATAAGATCAAAGTTAGCCACATATCTTCAGGGGCCAAAATTGAAATATTGATCCTACTGTACACCCAAATTTTGTACAGTGGATTTGTGTTGTCTGGGCGAAAAGCTAATTGCACCATCCTTATGCCGAAAAGAAGGTAAGGATAATCGTTCAACTACCGCCCTGTCACAATTGGTTCTCTTATCTCAGATTCTTTTGGCGCATTACGGACCAACGCATTCGATCCATGGTAAAGTTCTATCCACACACAAAAAAGGCGGTATCCCCAAACCTGGCAGTTTTGCTAAAGTTCAAATATTTCCTGAAGCAGTTTTTAACGTGAATAAACGTGATGTGCTAAATATATCCAAAGTATTCAACACAGTTCCTCAACCGGGCCCATTCGTGGGCCCTGCCCAGAAAAGGGGCCTCGACACCTGTTGCAATTTTGTAATAGACTCTTACGCTGACGTTTTCACGATCATTTAGCACACTGGGAAAGACATTGAGGTACCTATTTGTAGAGGAATGAAACATGGGGACCCCTTGTCCACATTACTTTTTAATCTCATTATGGAATGTGTGCTTGAGAAAACAAATAAGGATACTCGCTATTGGACAGGAGTGTGTATGTGTTAGCAGTAGCTGACGATCTGACGACGTTAGCAAAATATGCCTCAGGAGCTCTTGGTTGATTTTGTGGTGGAATAACACGAGGCACTCAGAATGACATTGCTCATCGCGAAGTGTTCATCATTTCAAATTACAACTTTTAAATAATCATGGTTCATTCATGTCCTCCATCTGGATAGAGTGTGGGGAAAATTCTTCTGGTCAGTTATGAACCTAACCGAACATACGTGAGAGTGAAGTACTCCATTTCTAATGGCTTCATATCAGCAGCATCCATCTCGAATATTATGGAAGCAGTGACGAGGTTTCGTAAGGCCCATTTTAAGCCCACTCAGAAGTTGGCATTACTTCACTGGCCTACTTAAATACATAATGCCACATTGCCTCTACCAACTGGTTTTGTTGATGCTCAGGACAGCCAAACTGTTGCTACACCTGCATACAAGTACTGCAGTTATCATATTCTACTTTGGCAATTGGGACTACTTTGGACCGGGATTGCTGCGGCTCGCTTAAATCGTTTTTGGGTAGCACTGAAGCTAGGTTTATGATTAGATAAATCTGGATATCCTATTTGCAGATGGCTGAGCCAAAGTTTCTACCAGTGGACAAAAATCGCGAAGCCAGAGCATTGGGGCTCAACTGGCTCTTTACTGAACCAGATAAAAGGGTCTGTATGAAGAAATGCGCCGATAACGAGGTAGCCTCATGGGAGAGCTGGGATCCCAAGGGAGAGCGACAAAGACGCATACTATCAGTCTGATTGGAAATGCCATTTTGATACCTTATTTTCTGAAACTTGATTTTTTTATCACGGCACTCCAATTGAGATTGAATACGTAGAGGATATATACTGCAGGAATTGCAATATAACCATAGAAACCATGAACCAAGGGTCAGTGCACTTGTACTAAGCCAGCAAACCGGGAGAAGTGGCTCTGGGGATCAACTGATCTCACTGCAGTGGCTCTGACCGGAAGGTCCTAGGTTCGAATCCCTACGGTGGCAAGATTTTCAACACTAGCTACACAGCTAAGACGAGTTGTTGCTGACTAGAGGAATATTCTAGTGGCCGGCTCTGATCGGTAGTTTTTTGTGGTCTGTCCGAAAGCCGGAGCAGTGCCCTAACAAACAGACCACAGACCGCACATGATCTTTCCTCCCCACTGCGTGTACAATCCCTTACTTACACGTTCACTGATATGCACTACTACCACACATGCCGGGAGACCGGACGGGAGCTTAGAGTTTGTCCTGACTGGGGCGGTGCCCTGCTGGTGTGATATGGCTGTTTGGGGAAACTTCCGCTAGTCGACGATAGGACGGCACCGGCTCTCGCCATCCAGCAAGGAAAGACCACCACCACCTCCCGAGCAAACACCATGCACTATACTTTCAAGACTAACAAACATAGTTGACACGCCCCGAATAAGTAATCAAAAAAAGAAAACACTAATGCCGTGCTCTGCGTGAGGTACAATTGGCGGCAGCTGCTGGAGTCGTGTTCTGCTATAAGAGCCGTGTTCTGCTGGCGGTGGCGCGGATGGGTGTCTGCGCTGCTGGAGTGCGCCCCCACGCATCTTTTGTAAATACCTCCAAGTAAACTAATGCTTTGCCAGCAGACACGCCACTCGGAAAGTCTGCTGGATGGTTCCGTGTGAAGGGACTCTCCTCACGTCAAACTCGTGCTCATGCAACACTTCCCAGATTCTCCATTTGGCTACTTCATATTTTTGTTTCGTATCGTACGTAAATATCTATAGTAAAATATATTTTCCTTTTAGGGACCCTTTCCTAATATACGCGTAGGTTGTTGGCATCTACAGTATTTCAGTAAACAGCATTAGTACAATAGTATAGTAAAACAATACTAGTTCATTTTAGCGCCCCCTCTCAATCCTACACCCAGTGGCGCCAGTCTAATTAACTCGACTGTCTTGACAATAAGGTAGTTGAATAACAGCCCTTCATAATCAGAAATTCCAGGCCTTCCATAGAACTGCATTATGACCGTTCTCCTAAGGCCCTCGGTAGCCGGCTATGGTGCTGGTGGCATTCTGGGTGAGCGGTGTCGGGGACCTGTGCCATACCTGGCACCTGCGTATCACCGTGTGCAGCTTTCTCCATCCTTGGCCATCAGACTACCAACGTTCTACCCCCCTTTTGAACATTTTTCCTTGATAGATTTCAAGTAGCACCCTGAGCATTCTCTGGCGGGGGAAACAGAAGACTCGTGTATTCATTTCTTAATGTGTGACATTCTCTTTGTTTCCATGTCATATGGTACTTTCGCTTTTATCACTGACCTCGCTTACCCGTAAGCTTGCCATGCAGAGCGATCCCTGTCGGAGGAATCGGTGATCGTGGGTTCTGAAGGTTTCTAATTTACTTTCCGGGCGCTACTCTCCAAATATAGTTCTCAGGAATAAGTTATTACTTTTTTAAATATTTGCCATGCCTCCATTCTTTAGCTTTCACCTCAGCGCCTTCTATTATAGAGGGACGGCAGTCGGGATCTAATCACTCCCGATCAATCGGCTCGGGCATGGAATTCCCTCAAGGTTCATGACAAATTTCCCTGATAAACCCACGCGAGTGGTTTATAGAAGGTTAAAAAGGATTGAATAAAGAAAAAGATAACATTACTGGAAGCTATACAAATAAGGCTTGTCGTTACAACATTGAGTGCTGTCTTGAGCTTGGCCACAGTAGATGTCCAGTGGAATGCACCCTTTTTTGGCAGTTGGAGAATGTTGAAGTAAGCAGTTCATCCTTTCTACAGATACCACATCCCCTCAGCAAAAATAAATTCATATGCAGCCAGTGTAGTGTTGGAACGATGATTGTTGAATTTGTTTAGTGTGTCCTTAAAAAATCATATATTTTTTACCATATTCTTTTTTCAAATTGTGGACTGAAAATAATATTACATTTTTCCTAATATGCATTAATGTTGTGCATCCACAGCTACTTCTCATCTTTAAAGATGGAAACCTCCTCTATAAATGAGGAAGATCGTGACTATTCAGTACTTTTTCTATCATCTCAACCCCTGTTTCCTCCTGCATTAATGCAATTTGAGGGAGGTAAGTAAATTACAAGTAACTGGGGTACAATTTATTCGTAATAAAATATTTTATTATAAAGTTTCAGATCGTTTTGAAATTAAAAAAATAATAAAGTGCTTCTATAAACAGCCAACTCAAATTTTATTATTAAGGAACAAATGGGAAAGGTGTTCAGAAAATATAATGTTAATATGAAATGCAAAAATAAGTGTGCTACAATTTGTGTTAAATTTCATTTTCAAACAGTACTCTGCACACTGCTCGACAACAACAAATAAATTTTAAAAAGTGACGTCCCTTAAAGCAACAATGAAAAGCAAATCTTCAAAAATCTTCTTTCTTTTATAAGTAAACAATATACCCTCATCCAATAGAAATGGAAGAAAAGGTCTGTTTGCTATTGACAATAATGTTCTTTGCAAAAAAGAAACAAGTAGTAGAATTTCAAAAGTTTCAAATTGGTTTCGTAATAACAAATTAATAGATAAATGCATTTTTTGCAATTCAAAGCGACAATCGCATACATAATTAAAAATCAGTAATATGCTTTTGACAGATGTTAAGGCAACAGACATTCTTAGACTCAATTCAGTCAAATCTCAAATGGAATATCCATATAACTGAGTGAAACACCAAATTAAGTTCATTATGTTACGCATTCCGAATTCTTTCAAATTCTGTCAGCTTTTATGCAGCTCATTGCATGTATTTTGCAAATATACATTCCTGCCTGAGATAAGGCATAATATGTAGAAGCTCAGCCAATAGAAATCAGTTGCAGAAAAATAATGGAATAACAAGCAACTGTCATCCATGTGATTCCAGCAAGCCTCTCTTCATTGAGCTTGGTATCTTACCAATGTCATGGCTTTTTATTTAAAGATTTTTAATTTTTGGCAAAACACGCTTAAAGTTGGAAATGTATTTTGTTGCATAAAGTTGGAAATGTATCAGGTGTCAGTATTAATAGCACACTACAAGAAATCCACATATAGCATATTACTTTACCACGCATTGCCTGATAATATTAAACAATTTAAATCGATGCATAAATTGAAGTTCAAACTAAAATATTTGAGCATAACTGTTTCTATACAATTAGAGATGATAGTGACCATCAAAAGGCAAAATTATATTTACTTTAACAGTTATAAAAATGTGTTAGTGTATTTGTACTGTAAAATTTTAAAAATAATCATTATGCCTGTTATATATGTACGTCAGTCTCAGCGTCAATGACCTCCCATCTCGATCAAGTTTTCATCGTATTTCTGTGCTCCACGGAGCAAATGCCAAGATGGCCTCTGATGCTCTTCTGGGGGAAAATGAGCTTCACTATGCACACATGTTTTGGCTCTCCTTTTGCTAGATGTGATAAGAGTTGATCCGGGGCTGTGAGTTAACATTTTATTAGCAATATTAAAAGCTCACCTGTAGTGTGTTTACTGTTTCCAATGAGTTTTGTACAACTCAGAAGCAAAAATGTCTAGTTTTCAAAAGTTAAGCCCCCTTTGTTCTAATCTTTATTCGTCATTCAACAATTTATGTTTAAAAGGTGGGGAAGAGATTCTGGAGCACAAGAAAACTTTTGTAGACTGTACTTGTCCTCTGTATGTCATATAGTGTTCTTTGACAATTGTTTCGCAAAATAAATCAAACCTTTCAGGGTGATAACAGTAGCTGCTTCTACCCTATATCCAGTTAGTGGCATTATTAAGAGAAAAGAAGGCATAAGGAATGTAAAATCAGGTGGCTGATATGCATCGTAAATTATTAGAGTGATTCAATACAGATGTAAAGATCACTGTGTAAAACATAATATACAATGTAAATTTTCAATATCAATCATGTTTTTGTTTCAGAGAAAGAAGCTGATGCAACGTACATGGAACAACAATATCATGTATACAAACTATCAAGTTATTGTGATTATGTTGGTAAACAATAGATTAAAGAATTTGTATTCAAATAATAAATGCAGTCTACTTATTGTTTCTCTATAATTTCCTCTATTGAGAGAATCTGTATTTTCATCGCACCACCTAAATGCTTGGTTTTTGATTTCCTAAATGACAAACGTCAGTTAGAAGACCTATAATTTTTCTATTACACAACATTGCTATGTTTTAAAATTTGAATGCGAGCACATCCTGAAATACAATAATCAATTCTGTATCTCCCAAGCATATGAATAGCCTCAGCATTTTGAATATGCAGTTTGCTAGTTAGCGTCAATTGTTTTCTTCATACCTTTTGTTGGCATAGTGCTAAATGCACTTTATTAGATTATATAAACTCCATTTTGCTGTATTATTGAGATTGTTAAAAAAATATACAAATGCAATTTTTTTGTAGAGGTCATTCCATGTCAAATCACACAAATTGAAGAAAAAAATAATCTTGATGTCTTATATTTTTAAACTTTCTTTCTGTGAAGAGTAAGGAAAAATGTGATACATGTTTTTTTCATTTTTTAAAGATAATATTTCGAGGTGATATTAATTTTCAAAACTTCTGAAGAAATGCTCGTTTTAGCTAATGTCAATAATTTTAAATTTGTATTGTAATTGTGACAAATTTAATATTTCTTCCATAACCCGACAGTTAAAAAATTCGAGAAAAACAACAACATTGTATTTGAAATGTGCAGTAAGCAAGTGCAGTAAGTTTGAAAGTGGGACACCAAGAAGATTCTAAGAAACTAAATACAAAATAAATTTTCTGTTTTTTTGTAAGTGCTGTACCGAAACTCGTGCCAATCAGCAGCAGACATTTACCATCATTATACTTTCAAGTAGAAATATCCCTTCACATCTGATACTTATGACCTTCATGGCCGATTAAATTCAAATTGAAAATGTCTAACAGATTCAAATCAAAATTAAGCACACTGAATATTTATACGAATTAGAGTATGTAATTCTTGGCACATTGACTACCAAATTGCTTCAAATTTGGGGCCTTGTTTTTTATTAGGGCATTTTTGATGTTCTTTGAAGGCGTCTCAGAGGTAAGGACCATACATTTCAAACAGCGCTTCAGAGATAGTCTTAATTTTTCTCAAATAGCCACGCGAATTTCTTCTCTGTTGACCAAATACTCATTTCTTTACTACAAAGTTCCTTGACGTAGATAGTCAGTTACTTTCAGATAGAAGTGTCACCGAAAGATCGCATCACCTGGGCAGCTCCTCGTTTCGAAACATGTGGAGCATTGTCAAGGGTTTGAGAATTCATCATTTCCAACGAGCTCGCACTGTCATAAGAAGCGAGGTGCAGAAAGCTTAGTATAAACGTTTTGAACGCCTTCAAAGTTCGATTCAGGGTGTGCCAGACACTGGATGCAGTTGTAACATGAAGTAAAAACGACGAAATTCGTAAAGAAAGGTTTACTTTCGTTTGGACAGAGGTAACTGGGACATGTATATATTTGAAATAGTGGTCTTCACAAAGAAAATTCTCATGGAAAACAAAGACACTTTTACTTCAAATTTTGATGAACACAACTACATCACCCGTCAAAAGGATAACCTACATGTTCCCCACTCTGAAACTACACTTTATCAAAAAAGTACCCTAATAGAGGGCATTACACTTTACAACAAACTAGGCAATGATATCAAAGACATAAACACAATTCATACATTTAAAAGTAAATTGAAAGCTTTCCTGCTTAACATGTTCTACAGTGTAAAGGAATTTTCAAATTACATTTCCCTTAAAAAATATAAATAAGAATTTCTTATCCCATTAGACTTTCTGTTTCATGTAAACTGTTTAGAGCTGAAGCAAAGAAAAAAGAACTGGCATATCACATCCTGTGAAGGAAAAAAAAGGTCAAAACTTGCCTCCTCACCATTTCAAGTTTTAAATATAGAATGTACTACTATTGTTAAACTACTATTACTACTACTAAACTACTATTGATGTGGTTGCAAACATAATTGATATGTATTGTTCCAATATTATTATTATTAATAATGTAATTATTATTAATCTTATTATTATAAGTAGTAGCATTAAAATAACATCTTGAAATGTTTATTATTAGCAGATAATTTATCTACTGTGTAATATCTTAATCTAACTGTAACAAGTATTCTATTTCTAGGCCAATGACCCCATCTCAATCAGGTTTTGTTCAGTTTCCCTTGTCCTTTGAGCAAATGCTGAGATGGCCCCTTGTTTGCTCCTGAACAGTAATGTAACTTCGCTTTCTCCACCCAAGGCATCATATTGACTCATACACGATTGTAATTGTATGTGACTCAATAAATATTATAATTTCTTCAATACTCGTTAATTCTTTCTCCAAGTAACAATCTTTGTCAATTGTGTGTCGTCTCTTTTACAGAACACTCTTGTCTGACAAAAAATTTCTGATAGATGCAATGTTTCGTTGCTGCTTCTAATTGCTCTCCCAACTTTTTCTTCTAGTATTTCGCCGCCTCAACAGTAATAGTTAATGAAACTGATATTTCTTTTTCAGTTTACAGAGAATATCTTATATTGACTATTTCACAAAGAAACGAAACGTTCTTTGTGCTTTTTTTTCTTCCAATTCATTGTGCAATAGGCCTCTTTCTTTGTAGTATTCAGCTTTTCTAGCGGAGACAAGCGCGTATACGCCGTACCTCCTCTTGCCCTGACCAACTCGAAGAAGCCATCGCCCCCACCAGTAGCGTGGCTGTAGTTTACCCCACACAATCGTCGAGGGGTGAAGATGGCAGTGCAGTTTTTCTTCAACCTTCAAAAGCAGTCTTTTACCCGCCAGGGACAGGACCGATCAGCACGAACCATGTCCGGGTGCAGGGGACGTGCGAGACAGTTCGCGCGCGCGGTTGGCACCAGCATATTGACACGCGCGTGTACTGCACGGGGTGCGGGATATGCCCACAGAAGCAGGGGAACATTGCGAAGAGCCGGTTCCTTCGGCGCGGCGCGCACAGCGCTCCGGGCACTGATGATGCCCACTCGGTTTAAAAAAATCGACAGTCGAGGCCGGCGCCTATATTAACTTGCTCTGCCCGTCACAGTATGTCCCTTATGTGATAAAATATCAATGGCGAAAACATGCAACCTACATTTATTGCCCATATATGGCAGATGTCTGGTGTGGCGGAGCACTTGCGGTATTGCTGACATTACTTTTGTTGCCCCCGAACCTGTACCTGCGAACGGGGATCAACATCTCTCCCTTGCCGAGGCGAATACGGTAGCATGCGCTCACCTGCGGCGCACTTTTATCTATGTGAAAGCGTGGAGAATGCATTTTAGATACCATGAACTACGCTATAGATGCGCGGCAGAAGATACCCACAGAATAGTTTCCGATATTGCCCCAAAAAGGAACAAGCGCTTTTACGGAGGTGTCGCGGTGTTCCAGAGACCGGCTACCAACCCCTCTCAACCAGAACTCATCCCCACTACCGTAAGCACTGATCCTACCCCTAACTACATCCCTCCCCTACAAGGCATTGACGCCGACAAACCAAAAAAGAGTGCCCTTCAGAAGAAGGGGAGGCCAAAATCAAAACCCGCCCCCATACCCATTCAAATCACAAGCCCAACCCCTGCCCCGCTGTCGCTTTTGGAACAACTACTAGTGACGGCGTGAGCGGAGGTGGGATTCGAGTACAACGCTCGTGGCGCGGGGTTCAAGAAACAGAACCAAAAGAGGGCCGAGAAAGCTCTCGCAGCATTAGATTCGGGGTGATCACCCCCTGCCCCCCACTGCTTGCATTGCCCCCTCCCCACTTGGTGGTACCACCTCGCTTCAAATGAGGCGGGAACCACGCTGGCTTGGAGCTTACCAGCGGCGAAGAAAACGCGTATGCCAAACGAGGCGCGGCAGCTGAAAACGGGCGACAGAAGCGGCGAAAGTTACTTGCGAGCTCTCCGACCAATTCGCGGACAAACACTACACTTTTTGTCGGCGCGGTGTTTCCACCACACTGTAAATGCAATCTCGGCAGAGCTAGTTGACCTTTATAACGGGGTCGCGGAACTCCTGGTTCTGGTTAGGGAGAATAGGTCTTCGTACCTGGAGGATGTGGTGATGTCTCCCATAACCGTGCAAGCTACGTAGGTCCCGGAAGATAGTCTCCTTGCACTTGGAGGATTCAGGTCTGAAATTGTCGAAAAGTTGCCAGGCCCCTGTAAGTCCAGAAATAGGCAACACATTGTACGCGTCTGTAAGGCGGGATGCCAACTTCGGTTACGCCCAGGCGCCGACCAGTGCTCTGCTACAGTCAATGGCCGCAATTCGCAAACTGCTCCTGCTGATGCCATAGATGGCACTGGACGCGGCCGCCGCTCATGGCGAATATTTACCGCGATATCAATTCCCAGGTCCTCACCGGGGAGGATCTGACGGGCGACAGGCAGCGCCAATCTTTTGTTAAGTGCAACTGTACTCCCTAGCGAATTGAAAGAATAAAAGTTTCGGGTACGGCACCACTAACTGCGCAGTACTATTGGAAAATTCCACCCTAAAAGACAGAGAGAGCAAATTGAGTCAGAAGAAAGTTAAACGTTTCCGCAACATAGATCCACTCGCATCCCTGAAAACATTCTAGAAGAAAGAGAAGTCACATTAATAACAGCATCCGAAACCCTTCTAAAATAGCATACTCATCAGGAGTCGCGCGCAAGCTTAGCACAACTTTGGCAAATGAGACGGAAGGCGTGCGACCCAAAGAAGCCAGTTTTGCTATTACCATAGAAGGGCGCGAGAGGCAGACCCTAAATTGCATCGAAGCGAGCAACATCAGAGCCACTGAATTATATCGAGACTGAGAAGTAGAACATTACTCGAGACATTTTAAGTTGCACTGAGGTGTGTGACGCCGAGGAGCAGTAAGAGTTTCAATTCATCATAGGTATCATAGGCATGAGTGCTGTGAAAATTGTCGATAAACTTGTCGAGGAGGGGATTTATCTGAAAACTTTATACTAAATACTACCAAATAAAAAATAGTTGAAAGCGTATATTAAAGTCAGATGCTATGTTATAGTACATACACTGTTTATTGGAATTCGACACACCTATCGATGTATAACGCCTCCTAAGATAGATGAGTCACAGTTTATGATTGGCCAGTGGATAGAAGCGCTAAGAAAAATCGGATGGAAAACTTTTTGAGATACGCCGACCTGATTGGGGCATTTTGTATGTATAGTTACACATAATTGGTTTTAATTTCACGAGTGGAATAGTCATTATAATTATTATAGCAACCTATTTATTTTTATGATTATTTTTTTTATCTTCAGGCTTTCGCAGATGTTTTGGCCAGTGAGTCTGCTCGTGTAAAAGAAAAACTGACCGACACTTGACTCTCCTCATAAAGCTCAATATTTAGGCAATAATTACGGAATCATTAAATTCAATGTGTCTTGCATGCTGACCGTGAGCGTGACACAGCATAAAGTGGAAGGGCCGTGAGGAGTCGTGGGTGGGACCGCTTCACGCTGCTCTGTCCCTGAATAAACGACGGGAGCTGAGCGTTTCATCCTGAGGCACGAAAGAACGTGAGGTTGCGCGGCAGCTGTAAGGGGGACGCCTACTGTTGCGCCTCAGGTCAGTGACCTACTCATGTGACACCGCCCTTCAAATAGACGGCCCGGTCACCCGGGAACGGCTTTCTGGAACATTCGGAGAAGGTAATCACCAAATTCACTGTTCGTCAATTAGAATGAGAGTGTCAAGTTAAAGAGAGACCAAATACATTTTTTCTTCAATTAAAATTTAATGTCATAAAGAAATAATTGTAAAAAAGCGATGAGAGAGTCAGATCTACGGGTCAAAGAGTGGTAGCTTATACGAAATCATTTTAATCGCGTGAATGTGTACGTAAATGCGAAACAAATTCAATAAACTTTCTGTGCTTGCTATTTGGCAGTATTTTTCCATTCACACGTGCATTTGACATTTAAGAAAATAAGTTATGCATTCTATCCCAGAGCTGCTCCGACCGAGCGGGAACCTAGAATCTCAAGTCTCTCTAGTAAAAGAAAACGGGTAATTCATTAAAATTCGGACGTTACCTAAACTACCACGCTAGGTTTGCGTTCTGGCGCCCACGTCTATATAGTTGTTTGATGTATCTGACACCCAACGTGTATTAAACCGCCCACAAAGAGGATTAGAGGCCAGAGTCTAGTGTGTAGTTGTAAAGTTTGTTTTGTAGAAGAAATAGCCACTGTTCTTGTCAGCCGAAGTATTTACAAGTTCAAACCTATCACGCCTCGTTTCTTTAGGTCTTTTTAGTGGTAGCTTAGTAGAAGGGAGGGTGCCACATACAGTAAAACTTCTTCAATGCGGATCTTCAAGGGATCAGTATTTTTTCCGTATTAGATAAGATGCCGCATTATGCAGAGCAATATTGTAGAATGTATGTTTGTCAGGACCGCGATTTGTTCACATTAGACAGATTTTCCCATTATACAAGTTCCGCAGTGAACAAGTTTTACCGTAGTAATATTACGTAATACTACTTGGGCACCCGGGAGGTGACACAAGCCCCCACCTCTCCCCCAGTCAATTACCCATATTAAATTGATACAGAATGGCACAGACTTTCTCGTACTAGTTAGGTTCTTAATCTCTTTAGTCTGGGCGAGCTTTAAGGTTTTGGTTCTGTTATTTTAGTAATTTTCGAAAATTCAGAGTTAACTGTAAAAATCGGATCTATGGCATCTTTACAAGTGTATTTCACACTATATTCTTACAATTTTTTTGAAAATGTCCGTCCGTCTATTGTCTGTCAACACCACTAGTGCCTAAACTATGCGTAGGATGTTTTCCAAACTGAAAAATATAGGGTCGATCTGGACTCATTTAAAGCTCTGAGGTTTTGAATAACATTCTTTAAATTTTGGACGTATGAAGCCCCTGGGGCACTTTCAAAATTCTCTCAAAAATGTCTCCAAATTTGTTCGTTAATTTTGTCGAAAAAATAGACTGAAATACACTGGCAGAGATAGCAATAGCCTGTTTTTCACTGTAAATTCTAAATTTTTGAAAATTGAAAAGTTTGAATTTTTTGGCGTCTTCCTACAACTACAAAGTTGAAGGAGATATTTTTTCTTCAAATGAAATTTGTTCTTCATAATTCTTTCATTAAGGACATGTACATTTTTTATTTGAAAATTGCAACAGCTTTCGCAGACTTTTATATGACATATAAGCAAGATTAAAAAATATCAAAAGCAAAAATTACTCAAAAAATGCTCAAACTTTTTTCTTTAAATTGTGGTAGGGATAGTGCTCAATGTACTGTATGAGATTACATAAGCATCATTTCGCTATATTTTTGTTTTTTCAACTCTCTCTCACACACGTGGTTTATATTTACATTATGCACGATTATACATTATTGAATTTGTTCATATACGTGCTTTAAATGATGTCTTGTTTTCTTCAAATTTTAAATTTCGGCTCCAAATATTTTCTTCAAATGTTTTGCGTGAATAGTGCTAAATGCACTGTGTAAGAAGATTTAAATGTAATTTTGCTGCATTCTTTTTTTTTCTTCAGAAACTACTTACATGTATTTTTTTAATATTGCCCACTCCATTAGCAGACACATTTAGAGCGATTTGTATTCATTACTGCATTTATGAGTGGAAGTGCTTCAAATGACTTCCAATAACGTTTTTCGAAAACTCAAAAGCTTTCTGTGGGAGGGAAAAATAGCTCAAAATTTCGCATTTACAGTATTGGCTAAACATGTTCTTAAAAACTGCTTCAAATTTCTCATCGAAACTTTCCATGTAGGACGAGAAGAAGAAGAAGAAGAA